CTGATGAAGGGTCTAGGCCCGAAACGTCAGCCTTTTTGCTCCTATGATGCTGCTTGGCCTGCTGCGTTCATCCAGCTCTGCAACTCATTCATGCCGATCAATTTCCCAAAACTACTCTCTCAGATATCATTTTGTCAGGTATCAATCTCTCAGAGATATCGCTCTCTAGATAATTGGCTCCCTCAGCAATATCACACCCTCTTGTGTATCACTCTTTCAGAAGTGTCACTCTCTCATAAATATTGTGCTCTTACTCACTTTGTTCTCTCAGAGGCATAGGTCGCCAATGTGATATCATTCTGTCAGAGATATCGCATTCTCACAGATACTGAACTCTCAGAGTTTCAATCTTTCAGAAATATCACTCTCGCAGTAATATCTCTTTCTCAGAGGTATCACTCTATCAGAGATATCATTCTCTCAGAGATAACACTCACTCAAAATCTTTCCTCTCTCAGGGACTTTACTCTCTTAGTGGTATCATTCTCTGAGAGGTACCACTCTAGCAGAGATATCACTCTCTCAGAGGAAACACTTGCTCAAAGAATTTGTTCTGTCGGAGAATTCACTTTCCTCAAGACACGGCTGTCTGTGTGATATCACTCTCTCAGAGTTATTGCACTCACGGAGTTAGCACTCTCAAATAATTTGGTCTGTCAGAGATATCGCTCGCTCACAGATCACACTCTCAGATATATCAGTCACTTAGAGACTTTGCTATCTCAGAGTGTTAGCTCTCTCAGAGATATTGCTGTCTCAGAGATGACACTGAGAGTTTGCGGACTCAGTTTTAACACACCTTCATAGACTTTGCCCTCAGTGATATCACTCCGTCAGATTTTATCACTATTTCAGAGATTTTGCACTCTCATATAGATATCATTGTCTCAGAGAATTTGTTCCCTTTGTGATATCATTCCCTCAGAGGTGTCAGTCTTTCAGAAATATCACTCTCTCATTGATTCTGCTCCCACTGAGACATCATTCATTCAATGATATCACTGTCAGAAATATCTTCTCTCAGAGACTTTGTTCTCTCACAGAAATCACTCTCAGCAATTTCACTCTCTTAGATTTATCACTTTCTCAAATGTTTTGTGCCCTCACATATATCACTGTCTTGGAGATATCACTCTCTAAACTATCACTCTCTCAGCTATCACGATCTCAGAGATATCGAACTCTCACAGATTCAATCTTTCAGAGATATCACTCTCAGTGATTTCATTCTCTCAGATGTATCACACTTTCACAGATATCACTCTTTCAGGGATAACACTGACTCAAAAAATTCACACTCTCAGAGAATTCATTCTTTCAGAGACAAAGCTATCTGTGTGATATCACTCTCTCAGAGATATTGCACTCACTGAGTTATCATTTTCTCAAATAATTCACTCTCTCAGAAATATCACTCTTGCAGAGATACTAACCTATCAAAGACTTTGCTGTCTCAGAGAACAGTCTCTCAGTGACATCGCTTTCTATCGGAAATCACTCTCTGAGATATCGTTCACACAGAGATACCAGTGTCTCAGCGATATCGTTCTCCCTCAGACATATCAATATTCAGAAACTTGAATCTTTCAGGGATATCACTCTCTCAACAATATCACTCTATCAGAGATGTCGCTCTCAGAGATATCACTCACTCAGAGATATCACTTGCTCAGAATATCACACTTCCAGGGACCTCATGCTCTCTGAATTATCGCTCTCTCGGAGATTTCACAGTCTCAGAAATATCATTAACTCAGTGATATAGTTCTCTGAAATACCTTGCTCGCTCAGAGATGTCACCCTGACTTTGATGGGCTTCATTCAGTACAATTGTCAATAGTACAATTTCATTGTATTCGATTACTTGAGTCTGGTAATTGATCTCTGCTCATTGTGCTTGATTGATTACAGCTGTGAAGGCTTGCAGCTGAAGTAAACACAGTAACTGCTAGAAACTCAGCTGTTGAATGAGCCGGAAGTATGGAGTTTGCCCAGGTATTTTAAAATACTAGAAATAAATTTGTAGCCCACTTAGAAACCTTTGTCATCACTACATAGCTCTGAAGGATAGTGAGCTGCACTCTATTCAATCCTATGCTGTACCTGTCCTGGGTATAGTTTTGCTTTCATTTTAAAATTGTAATGGTAGCTTTATTCTGTATCTATTGCCTGCTGTCCGTGTCTTGGGAGGTCTGATGGGGAAAGTGTCAAGGGTACTTTACTTTCAGTATAAAAGAATAAAGAGAGCATTGCTCTATATCTAACCTTGTGCTGTACCAGTCCTAGGAGTATTTGCTGGAGATAGTTTCAAGAAAGCTTTACTTTCACTTTACAGAGTGGAAGGTACTTTATTCTGTATCTGGCCCTGTGCTGTTCCTGTTCTGGAAGTGTTTGATATGATTGTTTAGAGGGAGCATTACCTTTATTTAAAAGAGTAGAGGGGACATTGCTCTGTATCTTAACCCCATACAGTCCCTATCCTGGAAGTGTTTTATAATGACAGTGCAGAGGCAGATTTACTTTCAGTTTTAAAATGTAGAGGCAGCTTTACTTTCATTTTAAAAGAGTACTGTCTACTGCTTCACAAGAATGTTTTAGCGCAAATGTAATACTGAGCCTCATGACCAATTGTCCTGGGCATGGCCAAGGAGGTTGGTTTTGAGTGCCTTTGAGGAGGGAATGTGGGCTGGAGAGGTGCCAGGATAGTGATGCTTAACGATCAAGTAGTTGAAGGTTCTTTGAGTGAAAATTCTGCATGGTTTCTGGGTTTTCTTGTCTCCTGGCTTCAGTGACCCATGCTGCAACTTTTGATGAAGGTCCACCAGATCCTCTACCACGTCAGGTGGGCCTGAACTCCTTCATGTGGCCGCCCTTTTAAATGCACTCTGTGGGGGTGCTACCCAAACCCACCCTAGACAGGCAGTGTTACCAAATAGGATGCAGGTTTGTGGGGGGCAGGGGAATGGCAAGAAAGGAAATGTGGTAGCTTGCAGTGTGCAGCCCCATCCTGTTTGATGCTATGCCCTTAATCATGCACTGTTTGGTGAAAGTTGTCTACCCACCAAACCCTCCTCTCCACCCAATTCAGCTTACAAGATGTCCAAATATTTTCTGTCTCCGTACACAACACACCAGACACCGCGCATGTGGAACCTGGTGAAGGCCAGCAACAGGGCCTGAGACCTTACCAAGGCATTAATTGACCACTTAAGGTTATCAGTTGGTGACAGAGTGGGATGGTCAATTGTGGATCGACCTGTCTTAAGCATAATTCCTGTGATGGTTGGAAGCTGACAGTGATTGGCTATGTCACCTTCTGTCCGACCATTTCCAGGCTTCACAGCATCTCAGCTCAGTCCCTTTCAATGGGGGAGCGATTAATATCATAGTGGAATCCCTATTGTGCAGGTAGAGGCCATTGGCCTATCATGTTTGTATGACCCTTGGAAGAGCATCCCACTCTATCCCCATAATCCCATATTTACATGTCTAAACACTACCAGGCAATTTAGCATAGCCAATCTACCTAACCTGCACATTTTTGTTCTTGGGGAATTCCCAATCCTCCAGAATTATAGGTCTGGAAATAACTTGGGGAGGGGGCTGGATGATGGGGTTGGAAATGTGTGCAGAGAAAGTGAGGGGTGAGGACTTGAAATCAGTGAAGCAAATTTTAAAATTAAGGTGTTGGTTGACCAGGAGCCAAAGCTGAATTCAATGAGTTCCATGGTCCTCTCACACCCTGCTGAAATGTCTAGTCGAAGTCTATCACTGATACAGCTGCCTTGCAGTTAATCCACACTGGGGACAGCACTAGGTGACTGGAATCGGAGCCTCCACCTCAGAGATGCTCAGTGCTGGGACTCCAGTTAGTCCCAACTCAGCAGGAAATTCAGGACCTCACCCAGGGGAAAGGCTAGAGATGGTTGACCACAATGTGCCCAGAGAACCCTCCTCAAAACTCCTTGCCTGACACCTGCCTAGGCTACCTGAGCTACCAGGTTTCAGCATGGCATCATCCTATCCTGGCAAAGCTAATCATAAAACTCTTCAGCCCATCGTGTCTGTATCAACAAAATATACTACTCCCTACACAAGTCTCGGGCAGTGCATTCCAGATCCCCACCACCTTCTGATGAAAATATTTTCCTCAAATCCCCTCTAAACTGCCTGTCTTTCATTTTAAAATCATGCCCCTTGTTATTGACCTTTCAACTGAGGTGAACTGCTTCCTATTCACCCTGTCCATGCCCCTTATAACCTTATACAGTTCTAGCAGGTCTCTCTCAACCTTCTCTGCTCGAAAGAAAACAACCCGAGTTTATCCAGCCTTTCTTCATCGCTGAAATGCTCCATCCCAGACATCATCCTGGTGAATTATCTTTGCACTCCTCCAGTGCAATCACATCTTTCCTGAGGTGTGATGATTAGAACTGCACACAGTACTGCAGCTCTGGCCTAACCAAAGTTCAGTACACCTCCACTTTAACCTTCCTGCTCTTATAATCTATGCCACGACTGATAAAGTAAACATCCCATATACCTTCTTAACTACTCTATTAATCTGTCCTATGACCTTCAGGGATCTGTGGATAAATACCCCAAGATCCCACTGTTCCTCTGAACTGCCTAGTATTCTGCCATTCATTGAGTATTCCCTTGTCTTCTTACTTCTTCCAAAGTGAGCCATCTCACTTTTGTCAGGGTTAAATCTCATCTACCAGTGATCTGCCCTTCTGATCAATCCTTTCAAATTGTGCTGTAACCTAACACAGTCAGTCATCCGGCCAGTCTTTGTGACATCTGCAAAATTGTTTATCATCTCCCCATATTTTTATCTATATCATTTATGAATATCACAAACAATAAGGGACCCAGCACTGATCCCTGTGGTATGCGACTGTATGCTAAGCTCCAGTCACATAAACAATCTTGTACCACCACCCTCAGTCTCCTGTTACTGAGGCATGTGCTTTTACCTTTATCAGTTTTCCACATGGGAAAGGCTTTGCTGCAATCCATTTTCTTGTATCCAGAAATGCTCTTACACGCAACTAAATGGTTTCCTTTTCAGCAAATCACCTGTGGTTTTTTTTCACCTAGTAACCACCACGACTAAATCACCCATGTTTTTCAATTGATTCATTTACATGCAAAGCCTCTTAAGGGCAACAGAAATCCATACAAACTCCTCACCTAAACACTTGTTCACCTCCTCAAAAAACTCAGTCAAATTTGTTGGGCATGACCTCTGACAAGGCCATGCTGACTGTCTCCGATCAATACTTGCCTCTGTAAATGGTTGGAGGATTAGATTCAAAAATGGAAGTTGCTGGAAAAGCTCAGCAGGTCTGGCAGCATCTGTGAAGAAAAAATCAGAGTTAACATTTCGGGTCCGGTGACCCTTCCTCAGAACTGATGGTAGCTGGGAAAACATTGGTTTATATGCAGAAAATAGGGAGGGGGATGGGGTAGGGAGTAAATTATAGGATAAAGTTTAGAGCCTGAAGAGAGAAGAGTAATTGGATAGATAAAGGAATTGATATTGATCTGGCTAGGAGGGTGAATAGCTGCTACTGGGGACTGTTAATAGGTAGTGTGTAATGGCAGGCTATGTGATAACAAGGCCTGGTGTGTGGGGTATGTGGCGAGGACATGGGAGTGTTTAGGCCCTAAAATTATTGAACTCGATACTGAGTCTGGAGGGCTGCAGGGTCCCCAAGTGGACCAGCTTGTGTTAAGCTTTGCAATCGTTGAGGATTAGATTAGTAAACGGTCATTTATTGATCATTTAAAGGCAGGATTGGCCCAGTACAGGCTGTCGAGTGACTCCCTCACTTGGAAATATATCACCGTTCTTTCACTATGGCTGGGTCAAAATCTGGAACTCCCTGCCTAACCTCATTGTGGGCTTAGCTATGCTCAATGGACTACAGCAGTTCAAGAAGGCAGCTCACCATCACCTTCTCAAGCAGAACTCAGGGTGGGCAATAAATACTGGCCCAACCAGCAAAACTCACACCTGAGGAACTAATGACAGATAGATGGAGAAGGATAGGATGTGGAGGGATAGCTTCCTTTTGTCACAGTGACATTAGTTGCCATCTGTGACCTTGACATGAGTCATCTCTCTACTTGGAATTTGCAGAAACCTGATTGAAGGGATTCATGCACGGAATATAGAAAAGATGAGATGGAAATGACAACAACCAACATGCTCAAGGGCTTTGAAGAGGAAAAAGAGTTTGAGGATGAATCATAACTTGTGAGTAATCAAACATCCAGTTATTCTCAGCGTTATATCTGGATAAATGTATAAGTGGCTCATTGTTGAAATGTTGGCCTGTGGTGGTTTCAAAATGTCAGTGTTTTCCACATCAGTGGCTTCATCTCTTGAAACCATTTATCACAGCTTTTCCATAAATGTTTGATGTTCAGCTCAACCACCTTCATAAATGGCATTTTAATTAAACTAAGCATCAATTTATTCATTATTAAAACCTCACTCTATTATATAACCACCCACCCAAGCTTTAAAAGACACATGCAGGATAATACACGTATAAGAATACTTTGCTTCTGTCTGATCGTGTATAGCATGAGTGTGTCTCGCTGTCAGTTCCTGTACATGTCAAGTATTCAGTAATGGGTAAGATAGGGGCACAGTAGGAGTATCCATAAGACCATAAGGTTTAGGATCTGAATTAGCCTCTTGAATGAGTTTGCTTCGACATTTGATCATAAATTTATAATCCAGAGACTCAAGCTATTGTTCTGAGTACATGGGTTCAAATTTCTCCAGAGCAGCAAGTGGAATTTATGAACAGTTAATAAATCTGCAATTGAAAGCTACAGTCAGAAGAGGTAACCATGAATGTATCATTGATTGTCTTAAACATGCAATGGGTTCACTCGTGTCCTTAAGGGAGGGAAATCCTTACTTAATCTAGCCACTTGTGACTACAGATCCAAGGTAATATGGGTCACTGTTTACCAGAGCAAGTCACTCAATTTGTGAAATAAAAACAGGGATGTAAATTTAAAGTGATATGCAAACGAAGCAAGAGTGATGTGACATTTTCATGCAGCAAGTAGTCAGGATGTGGAATGCCCTGTCTGGAAAGGTTCTGGAGGCAGGTTCAACTGAAGCATTCACAAGGGCATTGGGTTGTTTTTTGGTTAGAAATGATATGCACGGAGATGGGGAAAAGGTAGGAGATTGACATTAGATGATAGAGCTGGACTAGATAATCAAGCTGACGCAGGCACAGAAGACCAAATAGTCTCCTTCTGCACTGTACTAATTAAGATTCTGTGAGACCAAGGGCAGTGAGGGATGGATAACAAATGCTGGTCTTTCCAGTGATGCCTACATCCTGTGAAAATCTATTTAAAAACACCTTTGTCGTGATTGTCACAAGGTCAGCCAGGTGGCTCTCACTCTGAGGGAGCTGGATCAGTGTCAAGAACTTTGCATGTGTAAGTAAAGGGTGATTTGATGATGGGATACTGGCCCCTGTGGAGTTAATGTGAGTGCTGACGAGAGTAAAACATGTTCTGAAGAAACTTGCAACAATTGCCTTTGAGTTCGGGTAATTATTCTCGCATCATGCCATTCCTTAGGAAACTTGACTCGTTCAACCCCACTGTTGAAGCCTAGGCCCAGTATGTGGAAAGAATAATTATTTTTTCCAGGCAAATGGCATTGGGTTAGATGAAAAGCAATGATGAAAAGCTTGTGGACCTGCAGCTTTTTCACTTATTAGGAGCCAAACATTCCCTGAGGAACCAGATACTAAAACCTTTGAAGGGTTGATGGATTTAATTAAGGAATATTATGACCTCAAACATCCACTAATTCTGAGATGCTATCATTTTTACTCAGCAATTCAAGAGCAAGGGAATCTCTATTGGGATTTTTGACGAGTTTAAGATGACTGGCAGAGGCATATGACTTTGGTTTAACCCTTAATGAGATGCTGAGAGACCATTTGGTATGTCAGATTAATAATGTAAGCATGCAAAAGTGCCTATTAGCTGAAGCCGAACTGGACTTCAAACAGGCACTACAAATGGCTTTGTCATTAGGAAATGCAGCAAGTTGAGCATTGAGTTGCAGGGAATTCTGATGGAAGTAGACACCCTCGCCAGTCCAACTGAGCTTAGGGAACACCACTTGAGTGAAGGCAATTGCATAGCTTCACTCAGGACAAATCCTGAACAGAGGGTCAGCCTACATCAAAACCCCAAAACAAAGCCAAACTTCACTCAAATGGTTAAAATTTTCTTCAGGATCTGGGCCAGCAAGCCATCGCAGTTGTTGTCAGTATGTGAGACAACAAAGAATACCACTAGGCCTAAATTGAGTAAGAGAACTCATAGGCCGGTATCCAGGAGAGTGCACACCCTGGGTAGTTTGCCCACATCTGGTTTGGAATTTTTAAATTGCCTAGCAACATCAAAATCAAAACCAATCAAAATAAACGTCTGGTTAAATGGCCATTCAGGTTGAATGGAGGCAATTCTTCAGTGATTGCAGAACCAGTCTTTAACAAAATTTGGTCTTGACTCCAACACCTAAGTTTGTGCAAAACCTCGGCCAGACTGAGAACCGATACTGGAACCTTCAAGGATTAAGGCTACAACTTCGGTTCCGATCTCTTATGAGAAGCAGCTGGTTTAGTTACCACTGATTGTAGTAAAAGACTCAGGCCCAAGCTTGATGGGGTGAAATTGGTTGAGAAAGATTCACCAAGATTGGCTGAACATTTTTTGGTTAGAAAATGGCTGTCTGTGTGAAGTCCTACTTAAATAACCAGAAGTTTTTCAGGAAGGTCTAGGGACTATCAAAGGAGCAAAGACCACCTTGCGTGTTGACCTGGAAGCAACTCCATGATTCTGCAAGGCCTGCCCAGTGCCATTTGCCTTATGGGCAAAAGTACAGGCAGAAATCAGGAGGCTGAAAGGTGAAGAAATCATCAAATTGTTACAATTTGTGGAATCGGCAGCACTGGTCGTGCCGATTCTTGAAACCCAGCAGGTCAGTTTGCCTTTGTGGGGATTTTAAACAAAAGGTAAACTGCTTTTCACCACTGAATAAATACCCAGTTCCTTGCATAGAGGATTTATATGCAAAACCTGGCAGGGGGCTTACCTTCACAAAGCTGAACATGAGCCCTGCGTAATTGCAGTCGTGGTTAGATGAAGATTCCCAGAAGTATGCTACAATTAATACCCATTAGGGTTTGTACCAATATACAAGACTGCCATTTTGGTATCGTCAGCCTGGGCAATATTCCAGTGGATGATGGAAAACATTTTACAAGGTCTCCCCAAGATCACCGTTTATTTAGATGACTTGCTAATAACATGAAAGACCAGTTAAGAGCACTTAGAGAACTTGGACATAGTCCTTAGACTTTCTCCAAGGTAAGCTTACGCCATGGAAGGGGAAAATGTGTGTTCCAGACACCCTAAGTGAACTACTTGAGCTGTAAAATCGATAAGACCAAGTTATACCTGCTGGAAGAAAAAGTGAGGGCAATCAAAGGTGCCCTGGCTCCCACATCTGTACCAGAGCTTAGGTCTTCCCTTGGGCTGGTGAATTATTACAGAAAGTTCATACATAACCTCTCCTCCATTGTCGTACCTTTGCATCACCTCCTTGAAAAAGGCAGCCTTGGAAGTGGTTATGTAGCCAAGCCGTAGCTTTGGGGAAGTGAAGTAACAGCTCTGAGATGTTTGCACACTATAATCCCAAGTGAGAACTGGTATTGATCCAATGCTTCTCTGTACAGCATCAGGGAAGTATTAGCTTGACAGTGGTCCAATGGAGAGTAACACTAATAATGTAAGCATCCAGGACTGTGGCTAATGCAGAGCGCAAGTACACCCAGATAGAGAAGGAAGGTCATACTTGGAGTCAGGAAGGTCCACCAATACCTTTACAGACATAAATCTGTAATAATAATGGACACAAACGCCTGTTAGATCTACTTAAAGAGGACAAGGCAGTGCCACCCATAGCTTCAAGCCAAAGTTAGCAGTGGGCTATAATACTAACTGCGTGTAATTACAAGTTGGAACACTGTCTGGGAGGCCAAGTAGCGAATGTGGTTGCATTGAGCCAGCTCCCACTGGCAGATACACCACTGGTGGTACTGCCGCTGGAAGAGTCCATAATGACTTTAAATTTTCTGGACCCACTTCCAGTCACAGCTGATAATGTCAGATTTCAGACACAAAAGGACCCCGTCCTGGCAAAACTGAAACAGCTGGTGGTGATGGGGGAAACCAAAGGGCCATCACAACCAGAACTGAAACCTTTCTGGACCCAGAGTGACCAGATCAGAATAGAGGATGGCATATTCTAACGTGAAGCAAGCATGATTATCCCAAGCCAAGGTCGTCGTCAGATGCTGTCTGAACTCTACCAGATATTGGTGAGATGTTATGTCCGGTGGCCAGGATTGGTTGCAGCCATAGCCGCATTGGTGGGGCAGTACCCAGAGTGCCAACAAGGACAAAATTACCACCAGCAGCTCCCCTACATTCATTGAAATGGCCAAGTAAACCTTGGACTCAGTCACATATTGGCTATGCAGGTCCTTTCATGGCTTCAATGTTCATAGCCATTGTGGACACCGACTCAAAGTGCTTCGACGTGCATAGAGTTCATTCATCAAACACGGGGATGATGATAGAAAAATGCGCAAAATATTTGCAATACACAGGCTCCTGGAAGTGTTGGTCACAGAAAATGGGCCATCATTTACTAGCAAGGAATTTGAGTATTTCCTTAAGTTGAATGGCATTCGATATATAAGGACAGTTTTATACCATCCATCATCCAATGACCTGGCAGAAAGAGCAGTCCAAACTTTGAAGGCAGGCTTAAAGAAACAGCCTACAACTTCACTAGATACCAAGCTGTCCCAGTTCCTATTTGATTATAGGACTACACCTTATGCAGCTACAGGGGTAGCTCCTGCAGAGTTGCTTTTGGGGAGAAAACTCTGCACCAGGTGAAATCTGATCTTCTTGGACCTGGGGGAGAAGGTGAAATGGTATCAGGGACACAAGACTCCACTAAGTGAGAGAAACAGCTTACTTCAAGGGGATGAAGTTTGATGTAGGAACCATGGAAATGGCCCAACGAGGGTAAGAGGGTGAGTGCAACGTTCCTAAACAAGCATGTGGACCATATTAAAACTACAAACTCACCAATGTGGGGTGGGGAGGGGGAAATATGCTCGGCTCCTCAGA